GTTTCCAATTTCTAGATCTTGGGATATATTTATTTAAAGATCAAATTTTAAAACATCCCAAAGCCACCTTTTGCTGTGGGGCCCCCCATATAATAATTTATCAGATAGTTATTTTAATAGAATTGATTAATTTAATTATGACATTAGCCATATATTAGGGGTTTAGGTTAATCATAGATAATTATGCAATTCGGGAGTTTAACCAGTTGAAATGGAATATGTAATTTCTATAGGTTATGTAATAAAATGTATAGTGAGAATAGAAATAATCTTTCTTTAATAAATTTGATAAAAAAAAACACTTAAATCATTAGTTACTTGAGAGTTCGATTCCAATATTTTCCGTATATTCAAGACATCGAAGTCTGAGAAAACTTTATTAAGCAAAAAATCATTCTTTTTATACATTTCGAAAGTACTATTTAGAAATATAATCTTATGTTCCATCTAATCGGAAGATTGAAACTTCGTTTTCATGAAAATGCATTTTCACGAAATTTCGTTATCGTTATTCCTCCGATTCCTGCCCGATTAAGGAATTCTGGTAACCCAACTGCAGCTAACTACTTAACTAGGATGATACCGGAAAAATAATGATAAACTAAAAATAAACAAATAAACAAAAAAAAAAAAAATAATATATAGTGTACTAATAAAAATTTTTCATGAAAATACAGGTTCAACAAGCCGGAAACAGGCTTGTTAGCCATCGAATCAAACATGACTCACACAACAAGGACATTTGTGAATGGCTTGATAACTTCAATTTCTTGTTAATAATCTTCCAAAAATCCGTTGTGGTATCACAGAATGATCCCCTCCAATTAGAGCACGAATATCACCAGCTCCTCCACCAATTCCTTCTATTAATCTTCTTCTTGCTATATTTGGCTTTTGTAATATAAAATAATATACTCCGGAAGAGATCAGTTTATATGTTGCACCAATGATCGGCAAAAAACCAACAATATTTGCCACTTTTGTCTCGATTGCCTCTGAAGTCTTAAGAATTTCCAACATAACACCATTATATCTTAGTTTCAATAAAGAGTCTCTCAGATGTTCCCGACTCTTTATCCTTATTCCTTGTTGTATCTCAGCATCATAACGGTCATTAAAGGGAAAATCGACTGCAATGATTGGAAGATTTCCAAAATAATTCCGTATTGTCTGTACATTTTCACTGGCCCATTTCGGAGTGCTATCGGTGATGATGATGACAAAGTTACTTTCTCCTCCCGAGAAGATTTTTTTAAATTCCTTGAATGTACTTTTGTCTTCATTAGTAAACCTATCCCCTTTTTTAACGTAGCATATATAGTGGAGGGGTGACTGAACTGCCGAGAAATAATGTCTGATCTTTTTGATGGCTTCTTTGTGTGGTATTGTTCCTTTGGATGATTCACATAATCCAATCGTATCGTACACGTCAAATTTTTCATTACCGCTATATTCTACATAAGAAGTTGCACCAGCTGCACCATTACTTATTGGGAATTTATTCTCAACACAAAGATCCTCTTGAACCATCATATTAGCGAGGGTGGATTTTCCCTCTCCAGTGCGTCCGAAAAAAATCACAGATACTGGTACATCCATACTAAAAATTTATTTATATATCAATTATTGCAAGTTTTTCGATAAAAATAAAAGTTGGATTTATTGTGGTTATTAACAAATTTATATGCTTATTGAAAATTAAGTTATTTCGGAATGTAAAATTCCGCATTTTACGAAGTACTCCGTGGCGTAATACTTTGAAGTTATTTCGGAATGTAAAACTCCGCATTATTTACTTGAGTACGAAGTACTCCGTGGCGTAAAATCATTGTAGATTCTGCGTTACGATGTACTACGGAAATTAAATCTCCAGTGTAGTACTTTGAAGTTATTTCGGAATGGGATTGGGGTGTTAGATAGATATGTTTGACAAACACTATATGGGGTGTGATCTATTAAAACAGCCCATTTTTACATATAAACAATTTTGAGTAAATCGATTTTAAATAATGGTTTACAAATAGTAATACATATAAAATTTTTAACTTAAAGTTTATTTTGTAAAACTTTTTATTAAATAATTGGCTTTGGTAACTTAAAACAAACTTTTTTATTGAATATATATCTATTCAAAAATCAAATAAAAAAATTTTTAAAAAATTATAAAAATAGGCTGTTTTTAATAGATCACACCTCATATGATTAATAAACCATTAAGAAAAAATACAAAATCTTTAATAATTTTTGATCTACCAGTCCGAATTAGATGAAACACATACCATTAGAATAAGCTCACTGAGACGGATCTAATAAGCTAAGTATCAACAAAATTCAATTACTAGAACTTGAGATAATTAAGTCTTAGTTTTTTATAATCATTTATACAATCTGATTGGCTAAGTGATTACTACAGGAGATTTGTTATATGTAATGTATCTATTACATATAATTTTTGAGATATATTTATTATTTATCTTATATATAGCATATATTATATTTATTATATATTTTATACATATATTAGTTATATTATATATTTTATTAGTAGTAGTTGTAGTATATGAGGAGTTTTATAGCAAAGGTAGCTTTGGGATGTTTTAAATTTGATCTTTAAATAAATATATCTTATGATCTAGAAATTGTAAATAAATAATTTTTATATTATTTAATTACTCTTAATGAGAGGAATTAATAGTATAAAAATTATTTGTTTACAGTTTTTAGATTATGAGATATATTTATTTAAAGATCAAATTTTAAAATATCTTAAAGCTATCTTTTTCTGTGGAGCTTTCTATATTTAGTTCATATAATATATGTAGCTTGTTACATTTCTAATTTTTTGTAAAGTATAAAAACAGAATATGTAGACTTTGATTTCATTATTGAGTCTTCATACTCTTTTACAAATAAAGTACTTTTCTAATACTTTAAAATAAATATTTATTAATATCTTTATATATCTTTAATTGTTGCCTTTTTTATAATTGCAAATTACTTTAAATCTTCTTTGTTAAGTTTTACAAAATTGCTATATTAACTTTAACAAAATATAGTAACAAGGATATTACATAAAATATTCTCTATTATTAGTTACTCTAGTTATTTGTTATCTTTAAAGAAGTAGAAGCAATATAACAATGATATACTAATCTAATATATTTAAATTAAAATATAATAACTTAAAATTTTATATATTAACTTATAATCTAATAAAAATATTTAATATTTTTATATTTATATAATATATTTATAAAAAAAAAATTGCTTATTTTTAATTATATTTTTCTTAAAAAAAGCTCAAAGTTAGTCTACTTTTTTAAAAAAAAATTAAAAAATTAGAACTTTTTAATATATTTATTAATTAGCTAATTAAAATTATATATTTTTTATACTATTATGCAAATATCTTAGTATAATCTTATTATATATATTTGCAAAATTTTAAATATAATTATTATATAGAAAAAAAGTGATAATAAAAGAAAATTGTTTATTTAAATTTAATTTTTTTTTTAATATTAAGGTTAGATTTTGGGTTTTGCCTTTATCTTTATTAAAATTTGTATAAAATTTCTACAAAGTGTTTTTAATTTTGCAAATTTGTTTGCTAAAATAAAACTTAGACTATAAATAGTAAACTATCTAATTTATCTACAACTTAAATCTACTAAAGCAGTTCAAAACTTATCTAAATTTGAATATTTATAATTATATTAGATTAGTAACTATATTTAGCCTATAAAGTAAACCAAATATCAATTTATAGTATACTAGTTCTAATAATGAATATGAGTTATTATTATTGTGTAGTTAATTAGATTAACTATATAAACAAATATATATATTTTTTATTTTGAAAATATTTGTATATAAAAAATATTATAAATAAGAAGTTTGTTAGAGATGATTAGATATTTTGTTTTAGATTTTCTATTTTAAAAATTTGATATAGTAAGGTTTTTAAATTTGTTTATAGATATTATTTGAGAGTTTAAAAAGAATTGAATAATAAGTTTAGTAGTAGTTTTGCAGATATCTGTATAGAGAATAAGTAGTTTAGTAAATAGAAAAAATATAAATTTTTGAAAAATAGTTTTAATTAGTAGATAGTTTTAAAAGAGTTATTAGTATTAGAAAAATAGAAGAAAAATTAGTTGATTTTATAATTTTTGAATTATTTAAATAGAAAGATCAAGTAGTATTGTTATAAAAAATTCTTAAATTGTTTAAAATATTATAGTAAATACAGAATAGTTGTTAGAGCAAAAAAGCTATTGTTATTTATTTTCTTAGCTATTATAGAAAAAACAATTGAAGGTTTGGTAATCTTAGTATAGTAGTCAGGTTGTTAGATCACTATGCAAGAGGTCTAGAGTTTAAATCCTATTGTCAATAAATTTAAATAATTACTTAGATCTTTGTACTCAACTTATAGTAAATTCTATTTGTTTATAGGGTTACAACTCTATAAATTATATTGCACTAATATTAATTAGACATTAGAAGTGTGACACAATATTTGAGTTATATTGCATGATTAAATCTTAATAGAATCTATGAGCAAAGGATCTATATAGTAAAAATCCCAAGTTTTGTAAAGTAGTACAGATTTTAATAGTCAAGCTAGTTAATACTTAATCTAATGAAAAACTTGAGTATGAAGTATATAGTGTTATAATAGTAAAATTCACATTTTTGCTAATAACTTTTGAACTATCATTCTAATCTTAATAAAACTTATACCATTAGAATTAGCACAACAAGACGGTTCTAATAAGTACAAAATCATATGATTTGGATCACAGGATCTCAAGATTATTAAAGTTTTATAAATATTAATTCATATAACATGTGATTTAATTCTGATTGGATGATCACAACTGCGCCCAAAATTGATGATTTCTATTCCATCTACTATATCTATTATTTTTATACTTTCTACTAGATTTATTATATATACCAGATCTATTATTTCTACTATTTCTCTTATATCTATTATATATACTATATATACTATTTCTACTATATATATTATTTCTATTATATCTATTATATTATTTATTATT